GCCATCGCGTATCGCCTCTTACTCGATCACACGCCGCGCGAAGCTGATAGCACGACTCACGACTGGGCTGGACTATTCTCAGGTCTCCAGGTAATTGATATTGAGCACGCTTCCATGCACATGTGTTCTCCCCTATTACCTGAACAACCACCTCTACCCACCCTTGCCCAATTCAACGCCCGCAAAGAAAATGCTTTCCATGGCCTCGCCCAAATGATGCATCACGGACTCAGTCATTTTGTCGGACGAGGACTCCCCACTATATGGTCTTTTGTAAGCGCAAAAGAGCCTGAGGTCCTCTCACCGATCCGGACACCCTTCACTGATGAAGATGCACGGGTTATCCGCCTTTGGGCCCGGAAATTGGACGACTGGCTTGTTCGATATAATGCTGCATCTCGTGAGATCTCTTAGTGGCCCGGTTTTAAGGGAGAGTATGCTGACGCGAATGTCACTTCCAGAGCCATCCCCTTCTGATCGCCAGGGCATACTCATCCTCCTACAGTACCATCTACACAAACTATACGTCCTATCCATATATCATCCGGCCAGAGGATTCGATCTAGGTTCTACGGATATCGCACCAGCCGAAAGACACGAATTACTAGTCTCAGCGCGGGCAGTTCTGCGGCTTCGTCTAGACGACGCTAGTATATGGTCCAACTGGGATTTGATAGTAAGTCTTCTACTAAACCACCATACTCTAATACCCACCACAGCTGACTCCCTTAGATGGTAACATTCGCAGCCATGCTACTACTCCGAGGGATCGAAGACGGCGTACTACACCAAGACGGTAAGAGTGAGATTTGACTCATCGCATCCTGAACCACATCCATTGCTAACCTACATCTGTACAGACCTTCTGCTAATTGAAAAGCACATCGACAGTCTGAAGAGGAATCTTTCATCTGTGCCAAGCATCCATAGCTTACTGGCTAATCGACTCGAGTCGGGCCTACAGAGCATGCATACACCGCCTGAATTGGAACCCGATTTTGCATTCCTCGCTCCGGAAGAGGATTATTCTTGGGCGATCTTTGATCAAGAGATTTTGTCTCTGGCGAATCCGCCGTGGCTGTATGAAAGTATTACTTCCCTTGGGGAGATGCCAAGAGCAGATGAGAATCAGGGTGGGTTGTCGGCGCGATTGGAGTATACTGCTTTGGCGCAGGGAGGTGCGGATGCTCTGGGTGGGGGTAATATCGGATATGATTGATGCTGTGCTGTTAGGTGGCATATCTAAAAAGGGAAGTATCGGGGGAAGAGTTTACTAGTGTGGTTGTGAGATGAAGACGCCAGAATTGTCACATCTTCCAATATATTCAAGTTTCGTGAATCATCATGTTAATGTACAATTCAGAGGTTGCCATAAGAAGCATAAGACGGCTGCGTCCTCATATATGAGGGAGATCGCTGAAGGAAATAGGAATTTAGATGGTTAGGTTTGGCCTGCAAACCTGGATTAGCGATTAGCCGTGCTTCCTCCACGCATAGCAACCTGGCGCCCTTTATTCAATCAATAGAGGCATCATCCCTCGAAGCATCTGCTGTATCTTCCTGATCAGATAGATTCGAGGCATTGCTTTGGTCGTGGAAATGACCCGGGTGCGATGCAGGACTAGCATCGCGAAATTCCGGTGTAGATGGAAATGGGGGAAATGGTTCGGTTTGTGAGTCGTTTCCGGGGGAGCCCGGATTCAGCGAGTGCTGGGTTTGTGCATCCTGACTATGAGGAAGTGTGTGTTCTACAGTTGAGTCTAAATGATTATTAGCGGACTCGTGATGGGCGGCGTCCGACGAAGATGTGTGAGGTTGTGGAGATGGTGAACTTTGTGAAGCCTACATGATTATTTTGTTAGCCCATTTTCTATAACTCTGGCATGAAACCAATTATTATATGAGCTACCTACCTCGTCTTTTGCTTGGTTTAGGCCTCGTGTTGAAGCCAGCTGCTGCGCAGCAAGCCGTCTTCGCTCAATTTCTGATTCTTCTTCAAGCGCTGCTTGCTCTTCTTCTTTTTTAAGATCGGCTAACGTAGGGGTACTGGCTTGGCGAGTGACCTCTACATACGATCCCTCCGGGGACCGCAGACGGCTGCTCTTCTTTTTCTTTTTCTTTCTCTCCTCCTTGGAAGAGGCGGTTGTTCTTAAACTAAACGTCCCAGACACCGACCTCATACTTGCAGGCTTATCTCCTATTAGATCAATTGAATCGAGTCCAGTACCGCGACGACTGGCCAGAGCTAGAGCGAACTCATCATCTAGTGGCACTGCGTCTTCTTCCTCGTCGCTGGGAATCAGGTCACCCCGCGAGCTCAAGGAATTGGCCGTGTCACGCGATGATTGTGTTGAACTCCGATATCTCCCATTCAATCTTGAGGTGGCTGGACCCTCGCTTTCCTCGGTTTCTTCTATGAGAGGCTCATCTTCAAGTTCATGCCGTCGCAAACCCACGGGATGTTCTTGAAGATCTGCCGCTGACGGCCGATATTTCAGCCCTCGGGCGCCAAATCTCCATGGAAAGCGCTCTAGAAACCCCAGGAAGGAGGAACTCGGGATAACAGTCGGATCATTACGGTCGTCAGACATTATAGCAGTGCTCTTTCGCCTTGTGCGCCGAGCACCATAGCTCATTTTCCGCTGCCTTCGAGGCTGTTCGGAACTCCCCCGAGCCAAGCCGCTTCCAGCCAGTAAACGATCCAGTTCGTCAGTACCCCATCCTAGCAGACCGTCATTTGGATCCTCATTATCCCAGTCATCGTAGAAGTCGAAATTAGCCTCTGCGCGGCCGCGTCGGCGGCGTCGAAGCTGGTCTTCGCGGCTAGGGAGACAAGGCGCAGTGCATGAGTAGATACAGCTCCCAATCGCTGCAAAACATGGTACCACGTAATTATGGGAAAAAGTATATAAGCCCTCCTGAGCGCTCTCGTTTGCAGACTCGAGGTTATGATGGATTTGGTTGATTGTCTGGCGGACCCGAGGGTCTCTCGATCGCATCATGCCGGCTGACGGTAGGGATGCGACGTTGGCCCAGAGCCACGCCGCGGCCGCAGGAGCGATGGGTTCACTTTAGAGTGAAATCAAGTATCCCCATGGGATAGCTGTGCTTTAAATGGGGACTTCGGAGTGAATCGGGAGATATATTCCTGCAGAAAAGGGAGTCGGTATACGATAACAGCAGCATTGGAGAGGCGGAGATAATAACGAGGGGAGATTCCCCGAGAGGGAGCCTGAGGAAGCAACATTCCTCTTGGATGGTCGATGCCATCGGCCCGCCCTTAGTCAGCCCGCACGTGCCCCGTGCCAGAATTAGCTGTTTCCAAGTACTGTCCATACACTGCTTCTTCTGCCAATCGCATGGTCTAGTATACTAAGCTCACTTCTGGCGCCCGGTTATCGCCTAGTAATTGCTCATCTTTAGCATGGTTTACTATATTCGTTTCCTCAAGACCCCGAGGTTTCAGAAGCAGAAACCCGGGTCTATATCCGTCTCCGCTCTAATTTGCATCACTACAGACCTGGGAGACGATTTTCTTGCACAAGATGTGAATTTGCTTGTAACACTGAGTCTCAATAACTCTGGTAAAATCCTGTATCAGGAACCATTGAGCTGGAAGGCTGGAAGGCGCGAGCTTCCAATAATGCTCGGGCCCTTTTCTGCCAATATTTCTCAGCAGACAATCGTCCTAGGCGTGACGGCCACAAGTCCGCAGAAGCGGTCTCCCTCACCAGATCGCTTGCTGGGCTATTCCAGTCTTCCTTTAGTCATGTCAGCCTGGAGCGCACCTTTTGGTGGGTCGCCGTCCTCGGTAGCAGAGAAGCTTGTTGAGAGACGCTTTGGACCTAAGGATCGCCTAGGCTTGAGGATTTGGGAAGAGACTGGGAACAGCATAGCTCGGCATATCTGGTGAGGCTTCATCATTTCAAATAAGGCTATATTCTTCCTTATACGTGGCTTACATATTCTCAGGGATGCGGCGGTGGCTTCGGTCGTATACCTTCAGCAGATAGTGACAGGAGACCCTGCAGTCTCTGTGCCATTGTTGCAGGGTCTTCTTCGCGGCGAACGCAACTCTCCTCTCCATGTTCTCGAACTAGGATCAGGGTGTGGCGTTGTAGGGATTGCTCTTGCAGAGCTTCTCCCTCAGTGTTCTGTAGTACTTACTGATCTGCCCGAGGTGGAGGAAATTGTGACACAGAACATAGCTGTTGCGAAACCGGCCGATTCCTCTGAGCTCGAGTTCCGCACCCTTGACTGGGATGAGGAACTTCCGAGTGACTTGTGCGGTGGCTCGATAGATCTTGTCCTAGTGTCGGACTGTACCTATAATGCAGACAGCTTGCCCGCGCTGGTTTCAGTACTAAGCCGGTTAGTGCAAATGTCGCCTGAGGTTGTCATTTTGGTGGCATTGAAGAGACGTCATGAAAGCGAGTCTATCTTCTTCGACCTGATGCAGTCTGCTGGGCTCCACAATTTGCACCTAGATCGGAAGCAACTCCCATCGCAACATGGTCAATTTGACGAAATTGAATTGCGTTGTTACGGCCGAGAAAGGAATGTTTCATCAATATAATAGCTGGACGATTCGGGTGGCTTGATGTTTAGCGAGAACTACATAGGTTTTGACCAGCCAGTGGCGGCACCATTCCCCCATAGTCAAGGTTAGCATTTGTTGCAAAGGAAACAGACCACAGCTGCATGGCTCCTTCCGGACCTGGCAGCGCTAACTAAGCGCAGCTTGGTCATCATGTTCTTTCACAACCTCCAACTTCTTTGCAACTGTACTGCTCTGGTGCAGAGGGCTAAGGTACCGTGGTTGGTCGGGTAGGGTTGCAGTTCTTACACCTGTCCCTACCACATTAAGTGGGATTTAGCTCTCCACATGCAGGGGTGTTGGAAGTTCAAAGCCCAGGCTCTCAGGCTATTTTGAAGTTATATCTCCGGAAGCTGGCCGCAGCAATCATAGCCAAGGATCCGTGACCATAAAAGAATCGACCAACCCGAGATACCCATAGATCACCGTTCAGTGGCATTCAATAGCCAATTCCAGTCCGGGAAATAGCCCATACCACAAATTCATGTACATACCATCTCTACAGCATCGAAACAACCAAACCAGCCCACTCTCTTGTTCACATACGTCCTGGCCCTCTCCATCGCATCCTCCGCCTCCTTCTCGAATCTCAACATTCCCTGCCATAAAAATATCATGCGGTGCATCATTCACCTCACAAAACTCAATATCATTCCGCAACGCCCTCATCTCCTCCACAAATGCCACCTGATCTTCAAAGAAAACTTCCTCCGTCCCCGCCTGCAGGAAAATCGGCATTTCCAAAGTCCTAAACCCATCCCCAAGGGGACTCAGAAAACGATGTCCCCTCTTCCAACCCATAGGCGTTACCCGCCTGATACCCCACTCTAGCAAATCCCCAAAAGATAATCAACCCATCGACGCGGATGCTGATCAACCTTCCGCGGCCCATTCTCTGTTAAATCCAACCACGGACTCCATAACAACGCAGCCGCAGGCAATGCTAACGCCTCCGTTCCTTTTTTCTTCTCGACCAAATATCTAATCATGGAGAGGACAAGATTCCCGCCCGCCAAATCACCGGACAGGATTATATTCTGAGGCTCTAAATCCAGATTCTCGAGAAGATACACATAAGCCGTGATCCCATCTTTCAGGGCAGCAGGAAACGAGGCATTTTCTTCCATGGAGAGGCGATACTGCGGCAGCATGACGTGAGATTTCATCACATCGCTGAGTATACTAGGGCTCCAGCCGTTTATGTTGAGGCGGACACCGCCGACGACGTACGCGCCGCCGTGGAAGTGAAGGACTACTCGAGCTGGTTTGGAAGAGGGGAGGGCAGGGTGCCATACTGCGCCGATAGGGACGGGACGGATGGATGAAACGCTGGTGAGGATGCTGCTGCGGAAGTAATGGAGTGCTAGTTGGTCGGACGTGGCGGTGTCTGGTGGGCTGACGATTATGAAGCGGTCGCCTTCACGGCCTGGGGTAAGGGTTTTGAGGACGCCGTATTCAATTGCTGTTAGGTAGTTCAACCCTAGGGAGTAGAGCCTCACACCGATGACTAGGTCCATGCTTCATGGGGCCGCGTGAAGCGGGTGAGGTAGTAGATGAGGGTGCCGAGAATACGGATGAGGAGAGTGGTGAGGGCGAAGGTGGTGTAGAGATTCGCTTGGAATGATGGCATAGTTGGTGATAATGGGTGCCTCGAGTTGATACTAAAACCAGAAGCTTCTTGTTGCGTTTATATATTCTGTCGCTACTTGTTACGCTACTGAAGTGAGCAATTGCAAGAAGGATCGAGCCCAACAAAATAACACACATGAAAAGGATGATCAAAGCACCAGCTCTCACGCCAATTTCAACTACTACTGGTATGCAACAGGAAAGTGCCTTGCTTATATTGCAGGAATCCCCGCATCTAATGGGCCAATACGGAGTAACAACATTATTTTCGAGCTACTACTACATCTTAAATACCTTGGTAAGGAGGGCGATGGGTGATCAAATAGGCGCTGATAAACTATGACTCGGACAAATCAACGATGGATCTTGTCTCCTATTATCGGGCAACCCGGATAAAACTCCTCAGCCTCTGGCTTCTCAGGGAATCGCGCCTCTGCAGGCTTGAATGATGCTGCATTGCACCCAGCACTGTCGGTTCTCCAAGGTACCCAGATGAAGGGGACAATTGATTCTCGGTATTTCCCAGAGCAGGTCTTTTAGATTCGCTCCAGAGCTTCCGGATTGACATACGGTTGCCTAAGCGCTGGAGTCGACGACTTCCTCGGTCGGTCAGGTTAGAAAGCACATTCTCCAGGGAAGAGTCTGCTGGGACAAAATCTGGATCGCGACGTTCGAAAGGGACGCGATTGAAAGTATCGTAGACTACCTCTGGAAAGGCGATGTGGCGTCTGTTTCCGCGCGAGATCTGCTTGCCATCGCCGAGGCTAGAAGTCCGTGGAGGAGGCATAACCGGCAGCCCATTTCCAGGGTACCTCGGCTCGTCTGTCTTATTATGAGCATAACTGATGCATCTCTGATTGAATGCGCTAAAATTTGCGGCTAGCGTCACTGCGCAGAGTGGCAAGAATGCTAGTCGCATAGGCTCAGTTGATATTGTCTCACCGGAGACCTTCTCCGGCTGAGGCGGCGAAGCACTGGCACAGAGAGCCCATAAATCGGAATACAGACGGCAGACAACAAATATATGCCCGCTAACCAGATCGAACTCATCAGATCGTGGTTTATCATGATCGGACAAGGTGTATGCAGGATCAACGCAAATCACAAGTGATCCTTCGTGGATGGACTGCTTCTCATCCAACCCTAAACGTATGTCCTTGTATGCTTGCAATCGTGCAGGACTGCCTTTCCCTTTGTGACAGACGGAGCTCTGCAATAGCACCCGGCTTGGATAAGGTTTCACGGAGGTTCGCCAATCTGACAGAGTGTATTTCCTCACGGTACCCAATTGTTGCCATGTCTGTGGCCTATCACGAGTGGGCCAGTCATGCTTGATACAGTTAGCCTATCCACTCACGATCTATTCCTTAACTACCAGTCACTCACAATGATAATGGTCTCCTGATCAGACTGCGACTGGTTGGTTTCTGTGCCAGATACTCCATCTGCCAATGCAGCGGTAGCGTCACAGCCATCAGCGATGCAAGAATATGCATCTTCCGGCATCTCACTATCATTAGCTGCTTGGTCACTGCACGTTTCCTTTGTACCCCAGCTGTTGGTGCTTCCAGAGAAACTCGATGTTCTTGACGGCCGGGAAGGGCACCAGACGGAAGGCCGGTGATAGTATACGGCATGGCGGCGCTTTTCGGTCACTGAGTCATGGATATACTCTGCATCAGGTGCATCAAACTCATAGGCGGATTCTTCTGAGATGTCATGAGTTGAGAAGGGTACTAGAAAGGCGTTTCCTTCTTCTTTGAGTCGATCCCTGCTGAGAAGGGAGTCGACGCTAAGCATGTTGTACATAGCCATCTACCTTGTAAGTATGCAAGCAAGCACTATGTAGCCAGATACAGAGAGTCAATGCTACGAGCTGGATGATCTGCCGAAACATCCTAACTACAAGTGGTCGCATCGCGACTGCCTTCAGAAGGAGAACTGACAAGGAAGGCACGTATGGCCGTACCTGAGCAGACCACGGCATCAGTGCCCCAACTCCAAGCATATACGAAAGTGCATCAAAGATCTTCTCCAACCGGGTATACATAGTAGAGTGAGGGGAATCAGGGATTAGAAATCAACAGATGAACATCCGAACACCTCGGCTCGCGATGCTGACTCATCCAGAACAGGGGAGTCTACGGCCTTAACTAGACAAACTAGACACTCTACGTGATACCTTCATCTTTGGTTTTTAGATCACATCATATTTAGCTTTCTTTCTTTCATCATCTTCATCAGTTGCAACCATGGCCGTGCCGCGTATAAACGTCTACTTGGACGTAGTCAGTCCATTCGGCTATATCGCCTTCAGTGTACTAAAGGTGCGCATTTTCATCTACTTTTTACTATAGCTCACATCATCACCGCAATATTCTAACGTCTAGAAGAACTCTCCCGTTTTTGCCAAATGCAACATCACGTATATCCCTATTTTCCTGGGTGGTATCATGCAAGCATGCGGGAATACTGCTCCTATGAAGATCAAGAGTACGTATTCCTTCAACAACTAAAACATGTCCATAACAACTTCTAAGCATGTTAATAGATAAGGATAAATGGAGTGAAAAAGAGCGTCGCCGCTGGTCTCGCTATTTCAACGTCCCAATTGTCCAGACAGCCCCCGAAGGCTTCCCGCCACGGACGCTGAGCACCCAGCGTGCGCTCTGTGCAATTTCCCAGAAACACCCGGACAAGCTTGTGCCAGCCTTCGAGGCGCTCTATCACTTGTTCTGGGTAGAGGGTAATGCGAACATTGCGCAGCCTGAATGCTTCGGTCCAGTTCTTGAAGGGGTACTCGGAAAGGACGTGGCACAGTCGGTGTTGGCCGATGTATGCGACCTGTATTGCATAAACTTATGTTGAATTCTTTGCTAACTCGGTATTTAGATGGAACATGGAGACATCAAGGCAGCCTTGATAGCCAACACTGATCGAGCATTCAAATCAGGCGCATTTGGCATACCTTGGTTTGAGTGCACCAACGACAAAGGCGAAACTGACACGTTCTGGGGAGTGGATCATCTAGGACAGGTTGCGGAATTCTTGGGACTGGATATCAAGTTGGACAAGGGGTTTAGAGCTTGTTTGTGAGTGCAAGACTACTGCTTATCCAGCTTTAGATTTCGCTTTAATCAGAGGCAAACTTCACGTATGCATGGATGCCCCAACATCATATATTATTTTATCCATCCGACCCGAATCTAGCAATCCCTAGTCATACCTTCTTCCCCCTCCCCATATTATTCATACTCATATGCCTCTCCTGCAAAAACTGAATAATCTTTTCCTTCTCCAAATTCTCAATACGCCGAATCTCATCCGCATCCGCCGGCTCAACGACACCATCTACACCCAGCCAGGATATTCAATCAGCATAACAGTAAACCAAACACACATACAAATGAAATAGAATGTTGAGCACATACCCTCCCCATTCCCATTATTCTCCTCACCACCACCCCCACCCATCAACGACCTTACATGTTCCCACGTACTATTCAAGAAATCCCCCGGCGCCGGCGCCGACGCCACGCCATCAAACATATTCTTCACCTCCTTGACACCCGATTGCGCCATATCATTAAGTGAGTTCTGGGGGGTCATCATCGAGTTCCCGTTCGAGCTGTCGGTCGTGGACGCGGGCTCTTTATACCCCATTTCTTGGGCGGTTTCGCGGGCGGTGTCATCGACGGTTTTCATTGTGATGATACTATGAGTAGATATATATTATTAAGTAGAGAAGGAGATGACCTATCAAGAAAAATAAATATATGTCAAGAAGAGATTTTATGTTTAGTAAAAGTGGTATTATCTTGCTGGAATGAATGAATGATTGATTGATTGGAGGGTTTAGTTAAGTAGTTTATCTTATGTGGCCGATGACATCAAGTTAGTTCGGGTGGATCATGATATCATCGTTGTCAGCCTTGTGGAGCTTCGGGGCTTTCGGGTGTGGCAGGTTGGTGCTGGCGGGCGGCCTTGGTTGGGGGGCCCTTCGGGGAGGGTATCTAGGGGCAGTAGGACTGGTTCAGCCTTATAGGGTGGTTGGAGTCAAAAGATAGTGTGTTTCGAAGGATGGGCGTCGTTTTTTCTTGTTTTGTGGCTTGGTAATAGTAGGGCCGTGTGGTAGTCTAGCGGTGTTATCATTATAACTATTCAGTTTGTGTACTCTTGACTGCGATGTGATAAACGCATCAATTTTATGTGAATATTTTCTGATATATGATTTAATTTCATCTCAATGGTGGAAAGAGAGCCTCTGATTTTTACTGAAATAAGAAATGGCAGTAACTTAATGTGTACAATAATATTTGATTGCCAAAGCTTCTTTCACAACAAACAGATTTCATAATACCGTATTCTGCAAGTGAGCACAGTAATAAAAGTCCTTCAGCAATCATCCGTCATGAAGGGTGTCTGAAGTAGCTGTTCTGCAGATAAACGTTCGCGAGGGTCTATTTGCAACATAAGTAGAAGGAACGAGGCGAGGCTCTCCGCATTCTTAGCACCAAAATTCTCGGGTAACCGTTCGCGTAGGTATTCTGCGAAGTCCCCGTCCTGATTGTTCGAACCGAGTCGTTTCTCAATAAGAATACCGTGGTCATTGTCTATCTCCTCTCGTGTGATGCCGAACGTGTCCAGAGGGAACAGTGGCTCATTCGTTGCTAGTTTGAATATCTTTACTGATGTCAGAAGGAACGTATATTTCAAGAGAGGGATTGGCTTCGACATACCAAACATCCCAATGCCCAGATATCCAGCGTAGTATCAATTGAAGTATCCCGGGTCTTTCTAAACAGCTCAGGTGCGCGCAAGCCCAAAGGTGTCACTGGTTTTTCATCACAGTGTTGAACATATTGAGCTAGTGTAAGCCTCAGTGAAGCTGTCCAGACAAGATTCGATACAGACATGCGTATCTTACCTCCGCCAAAATCCCCAATCCTGACCTCCAGTGCTGAGAAATGTGCATCACTCAACTGGCCTCTTCGCCTTTGACTAGGCACCAAATACTTAGGAGCACTATCGTCTGCATTAATTCTTTCTAACCACTTAACGGGACTGAACTCAGGAGGCTGTAATAACGCCTCCATGTCTGTACCCCCAGCCACTGAAAAGAGAATATTTGCCGGTTGAGGATCTGCATTAAGCCCATTTAGAAAGCTGCATACACAACCAGATACATTGACTAACCACAGTGTACAATACCTGACTGATGTAGGAAGTCAAGTCCCAGCAAAAGCTGACGAGAAATAGCCCGTATGTAGCTGACTTCCCGCGGACTTCCACTGACCGTCATTGCTGCCCCGTCAGATATCATCGTAGGGAGAACAAGACACAAGTGAGTTCCATTCGGTCCTTTGGTGTAGAAATGATCGAGTAGTTCAACTATTTGTTTATTTCCAGGATGATCTGAATTGGAATCTGAGAGGGTAAGAAGGATTGAAAGCTCCCTATTGTTGTCTTGGGATGCTTCTGCTTTTAGTATTTTCAGTACCACTTGTTGGGAATCTCTGTTCAGATGTTAGCAACACATTTCTAATCCAATATCAGCATATGCGTTTTGCAGTAATCCTTACTTTAGTTGGTCCTTTGCAAGCCATACCGTCGAGTATTGGCCATATGCTAGCTTCCCAATAACTTCGTATCTTTGGTGGAACACATCGTGAAGATGCGCAGGATGGTATCCCCCTTGACGGTATTCTTCAACAGGCTCTACCACATCGTAGATTCTTTCGAAGCGGCGCATTCTCTATAGTACCCAGAAAGTGTGTATAGCGATAGACAGGCACCCGGAGAACAGTCGGTTGTCGAGTAGAAGAATGTAATCATTAGTTTGTGCCATCGAGCTCATAGTATATCAGATCCGAATAAGAGATCCTAGCCATACTGCAATGAAGATAGTAGAAACAAGACTCCCACGTGGATGTCTGAGGCATCTACAACCCCACGCCAGATCTTATATATTACCCGATTCGTCCTAGCGTGCCCCTCCACCCCCCTCCGAATCTTTACTCCGGCTTCAACTTCAACATTTAATCCTACTACCTCCACATCATTCTTTCCGTCTATCTTTTCCCTTACATATTATTTATAGATTTAGACTTAGACATACCCTACCTACCACCACCCTCATATATACCGAAAACACAAAACAAAATGCCCTCCATCCCCATAACAATCCTAACCGGCTTCCTGGGCAGCGGCAAAACGACCCTCCTTCTAAACCTCATCCCGCAACTCCCCCCAACCTACCGCCTCGCACTCCTCAAAAACGAATTCGGAGATGTAGCAATCGACTCGCAACTCGCCTCTACCTCCTCAATCAGCGGCGTCCGCGAACTCCTCAACGGCTGCATCTGCTGCAACCTCGTCGGACAGCTCAGCGACGCGCTCTTCCAACTCCTCGACGAAGTGAAGCCCGACCGCATCGTGATTGAGACATCCGGGTCCGCGTTCCCCGCGACCCTAGCAATGGAAGTTAATCGGCTTGCGCGCGAACACCCGGGCACATTCAGCTTGGATGGAGTGATTAGCGTGATTGATGTGGAGAATTGGGAGGGGTATGAGGATACGAGTTATACAGCGAAACTGCAGGTGCGGTATACGGATCTGATTGTGTTCAACAAGTGGGAGGCGGCCGGAGAGATGAAGTTTGAGATCTGTTTGGATCGGGTGGGTGATTTGGAGGTTGAGACGCCGTGGGTGAAGAGTGAGAAGGGACGGGTGGATAAGGATGTGTTGTTGGGAATTGATGGGGCATTGTTTGGGGAGGAGGGGGTGGATGGGGTGGATGGGCATGGACATAGCCATGCAGATGGGGAGGGGCATAAGCATGAACATGGACACCAGTCCGAGGTGGAGGTGCTGTCGGTTACGTTGAAGGCAAAGGAGGATGGGGCTGTGGTGGATACCAAGGCATTGGTGGAGAAGCTGTTGCGCGCGGCGAACAAGGAAGAGGTGTATCGGATCAAGGGCGTCATGCGGTGCTCGACTGCTGCGCCGCCGGCTGCGTCGGAGGAAGAGGAAGAGCAGCAGAAGGCGGGCCAATCGGTGGCTGTGGATGCGGATGGCCCGGCAGCAAGACACTATATCCTGAACTGGGCCTTTGGGCGCTGGACGTTCACGCCGTCTGATGTGGTGGCCGAGACGGCCGATCCTGCGGTGGCGGCTAGAATTACTTTCATCCTGGCCCGGTATGAGTCGGGGAAGTGGAAGAAGAGGCTGGAGGCGGGTGGCCTGGTTCAGGTCGCGGAGGGAAGTACTAGTGAGGGGGCGGAGTTGGTGGTTGAGCGACTGGTCTAGATGGGTATGTTTTAGACATGTTGTTGCTTTCTGCCAAACCTAGAATTGGGCATGATGCAGGAGCTGGCTCTGCATCGGATGACCTGTGAATTGCGGGGTTGGGCTATGTATACATGATTCTATGATGACAGTGTGGGGTGATAGAGATCAGGATAGACTAGAGGTAGACATGACTCTGTCTGCAATGAAGATAGGGGAAACCCATTAAAAGGTCTAGGCATAGATGGCCATATATAGACACTTCAGTAATCTGCACACTGTATTTCGACCCGAAATCTACTCTAAAAGCACACAAACACATTTATTAACAAAGCAGGTCAACGAGCGACCTACTAAGTAGAGCAACATATAGGTACCAAACACAGAAGCCAAAAAAAGATATCAAACAATAGTAAATCTAGTACTCGAGGAGCGCAGAAGCCCCGGCTTCGCTGGAGATGTAAATCACCTCGTGGTTGTCCGAAAAGCCGTTGAAGCGGGTCGCGCTACACTTGGTGTAGGCTCCCATCTCCTCGAAGTAAAGCCAATCTCCAACTTCCAGCAGAGCTGGCAGCTCAATGCGCTTGGAGATAACGTCAATGCCGTCACAGGTCGGCCCCCAGATGGAGTACGTGACACCCCCCGAAGTCGCAGCATAAGGGGAGTTCGCGGCCGATGCGCAGGTCAGGACCTGAGCCACGGGGTGCTGGTGGTCAAAAATGATGTTGGAGAAATTTCCATACACCCCGTCGTTGAGATACAGCATATAGGCGTCATTGGTCGGGTCCTCCGGGTCGCGCACCTCACGGCGAGCGATGATGTTGGCTGCCAGAGTGAACGCATTGGCAACATAGTAGCGACCCGGTTCGGCAATGACCCGGATGCTAGGCGGAAAGTAGGTGTCCAACGCCTCGCTCAGAACGCCGGCGAATTTCTCGAACGTGTCCTGGGAGAAACCTCCGCCGACATCCAAAGTGTGCAGTTCATGGCCAATCTCTGCGGCTTGGTCGAACACGAGGCGCGCGTCCTGCACGGCCTTCAAGAAAGCCTTAGGATCCTCAGCGCCCGATCCGACATGAAAGCTCACGCCAACAACCTTGAGCTCGAGCTGGTGCGCCAATTCGAGGAGCTGGCGAGCAACATCCAGGGAAGCTCCGAATTTCATGCTGAATTGGCACAAACTGTTCGAGTCATCCGTAAGGATGCGCAGATAAAGCTCAGCGTCCGGATAGTTGGCCTTGATCTTGTACAGCTCATCGGCGTTGTCGAAAGTCATCTGCTTGACGCCCACCTGGGCCGCGTAGCGCAGATAGGACTTGGTCTTGCAGGGCTGCGCGTAGATGATGCGGCTCGGGTCGATGCCGGTGTCAAGGGCCATGTCGATCTCCGCCTTGGACGCACAATCAAAACCGTTTCCGAGTTTAGCCATGAGGCGAAGGATCTCCGGATCCGGGTTGCACTTGACCGCTATTGACTCCATGTTAGCCGCTGTCACAAAATCCTCAATTGAGCATCCCGTCCTTACCGTAGAAAGGCCGAACACGGCTCAAGTTCATTTTCCAGCGCAGATGCTGGCGGTAGATCTCCCCCATATCTGCCACGTAAAACGCGTCCTCCTCTCCCGGCGCGCAGCTGTCCACATTGACCTCAGCTGCGCGCTTCTTCAGGATGTCCAAGACTAGTTCCTTGGCAGCCAACCTGGATTGCGATATGTCGTCCCCTCCATGATTGCTGAATTGACCATGATCCCAATTGAGATTATGGTCTTGTTTCTCCTGGTAGTATTTAGGAGTGCATACTTCAGCAGGTACACAAGCAGTCGGTGCCATAACCATGCGCGCTGCGACGGAGCACGGAATAGGTCTTTGAAAAAAAAAGTAAAGTAATAAAAAAAAGTTGAGTGTCTTTAACGCGACTGCGTGTTAGGGAGGGCGAAAAGATTCGCAACCGAAGTTGACTGGACCAAGCCTCCTAGACCCTTCCTCCTTGAGAGGAAGAACCTTCAGAGAAGTCCTATGCGGCAGCTCAAGAAAAGAGGGGATGAGCGGCGTGGGCGTCAGGAGGTTAAAAGGAGGAGCACCGAACGGAAACACGGGAGTCGACACCAGCAGGAGGGGGAATGTTGTTAAGAGTGTCGCGGGGACGTCTCGGAGATACAATGTGACGAAGAACGAAACGCGAGGCTACGAGAGCCGTGGTGAGCTTGGAGCCTTTGGAACTGGTGGATTCCAAAGGCCTAGAAAATGCGCCGTGGAAAGATTGAGTGAAAGATTGGGAGAGGGAAAAAAAAAACAAGGTTTTTTCCCAATAAGAAGAAATCTGACGCGACCAGCCACTGATCAGCAAGCTTGTATGACAGCTCCAACGAGAGTTGAAAGGGGTTGCGAGATTTAATTTCTGGGTCCGGGGGGAGGGAGGGGGGAAGGGCAGGAGGTGAGAGGTGCGTGCAGAGTTTTAACGACTTGGACGCGGAGGTTAGGGCAAAGGGCACGGCGTCAGGCAGACACCCGGGGGGGATGGGAACGATCTCGATGAGTCGATAATACGAGGAAGGCCGAGCGCTGCAGGTAACCCAGCAAGGAACGAGAGAACAGATGAAGACTTACCACAATGGCTCGATGTGCACGGGGGAAGGCAACAAAGGGACGATGCAGACGAAGTCGAAGAGAGAAAAAGCAGCGACAGAATGGAGGAGAGAGAGTGGTTCTCGTGGGGGGGAGATTACGGCATCTCCCGAATCACCGTGCCCCTCTCCCGTCACCGCTCGGTATTGGTCATGTATAGTATGTATAGTATGTATCTTACCTCCGTCTCTACTTCGCTCTTCCATCATTATTTCCCTCATTCTCAACGTACCCCGGAGTGGATCTCTGCCCTTCACACAGTATGGTTACTTTTTCTCTCTCCCCGCCAGTAATGGTTGACGTGGTCTCAATCTTGCTGCCTGTCTCCTGTCCCATGGGAACCTGGCAGATCCCCTTGATCGTTGATTCGGCCTGATGCCCTCCCGATTTTCCCTCAACTTTCCAATAGATCAGTCCCTGAAGATCCGTCGTCTGAATCCTGGACCTACGGACAGTTTACTAGTGTACCAGACAATTTGAGTCACTTTTTTTTCTCGAACCACATGCCTCTGCTTATCACCAGAGGACGGCTGCTTCCCAGCACCTGCCCCCTCGGGATGCGTCATCCGTACTATCTAGATCGATGAGTGCTACGCCGTACTTCCCGCGCGACTGGCAAGGAAGACAGATTAGTGGTCCCTCGGTTCTGAAGAAAGAGGACCGGGCAAGTCCATCCCGCGAGCTAGAATTTGAACCGGCTATACCAGGTCGTACATGGGTAGTATAGGTCCGGAACAGACTGTTCCTGGTTTCGCCACTTAAGCCTGTTTCTTGGAAAGTGCGGCATGACGCGCTGCCGTCCGTCTTTCTGATGCCCGTCTTATTAGCCGCCTGTCCATTGGCTCAGAAAGCTTGACCGCCGTGGCTCATCGGTCGGCAGTATTCTATTCGCTCCACCCGGGCGGTAATTGACCCTGATCTACAGTCATGTGGCACGTGATGGATATCCTATTTGCACCACCCATCAAGATCAATGTTAGGCCCTGGATCTTCCAAATGATAATAATAGGTATTGCTTGTCAAACAGAATTGTATTGTATTTGTCTCTTATTATGCTATGTAGCACTGAGTCATGAGTGGCAAACCAACCACTATTCTACTTACTAAGTGATCCGTTCGTCCTACTGTACTAAATATATCTCTGCTGGAGGCACGGATCATGGGATACGACCAGCAATCTTACGGCATCATGTGATAGGCACTGCCTACTACTACTTACTAGCATCGTATGGGCCAAGACATATTCACTGAATCTCACTGACTGCTGATTTCAGTGAATTGATGGATGCAAAAAGCAGAAATCAAAGCTATCAATAGGTTTGATATACCTCAAGCATCAGGCTTTAAGAGGAGACATTGTCACTATTACCACTAGTGTACTATCACAAAAAGCCCAACAATGAACAATCACCAACTCCAAGACTAAACTTCACCAAGCCACTAAAAGACGACATAACCACATAATTCATGTACTCATACATTCATATTCATAGCAGCCACCAGAAGCGCTGCAAGTCAATCCAACCCAATGATTCAAATGATCTCAGATAAACAACCCGAACGGAACCAGCCGTTCAGCCCCAACATGCACCCAAACAATCAACGCCTAACCCCAATCAAAGGCCACCGCACCTTGCTCGGATCCGTCTCAATCTTTCCGCGCTCACGAGTCGGACCAGCCAACTGACCACTACTACTAACAACACTTCCAGGGTTGAGGCTAGTACTACTTTTCGAGGCCATCGTCGTCGTTGTCGAACAAACACCACCACACTTGGCCGACCATGCATTCATATTCGCTGGACGCTTGCCCTTGTCTTTGTATCGAGATTGTTCCGCACCAGGACGGATAGTAAGTTCGTTCAGAGGATCCTGCTTGAACTCCTGTCTCTTCCAGCTGTTTGACGACTGGTCAAATGTCAGTGCCTGTGCAGGGTCGAACATCAGGGGGACCAGATCTTGGTGTTTGCGGTGCTGTGCATTTGAACGCCTAAGCCCTCCACTCACCGCGGGATTTGCCTTGTTGGCATTCAAGTTGAATTTGCGTTGTGACGGTAGGGACATTTCCGTAGGGGGCTAGTTAAAGATGGTTGTGGTTATGATTATTTTTGTGTATAGTTGTTCAGTTGGCTGGGAAGGATGTAGGAAATAGTAGGTAGTCGACGGAGTGTATAGTAGGGGGGTTGGGGGGAAGGGAGTATGGAGGGAGAAAATGTGATATGATTGTTGAACGGTGGGATTTGAAACAAGTGCCAATATTGCATGGGTTGTAAGATGCTAACACGAGGTGGGGGCTGGAAGGTTTCCAACTGTTTTTATGTTGTGAAGCCAGAGATATTGGATATGAGCTGAGGCTCGTTGGGAGTTCTCCTTATGTCAAAACAAAGAGTAGGCTTACGGTCAATGTTTCAGTTTGTTGCGGCTTCTTCTTTTGTCTGAACCGGGGTCTGCTGCATGGGGACGGCATGCTTGGACCGAGCAGGAAAAAAGAACTCGAGGAACAGGGACCAGACGAGAATGTTATATACGAGTGTATGATATTCTATCGTCGTCACGACGATGACCGTGGACAGGTGAAGAACTCCCAGTTATCAATGAAAGGAAGTGAGTTTCAGTTAGACAGCGTCACCTGATCCGCAATCTGGAAACACTACCATGTATATCGGCAATCCTCTGCTGTGAGATATAAATTCCTTTATTCTCAGCAACTTTTGTCCTTCCAGGACATGAAAGGACTGTTCTGGCCGTACTATGCTGGAGGGGATACAATGAACGGTGTTTACGGCAATACCATGGACAATTGGCTACCTTCGCCACAAGTTCCATGAAGACCAAATTAAAGTAATTATCAATCATAAAAAAGCTATATAATACAAGTATTGTAAACCGGATATCAGTGATGTAGAAAGGGGAACAAACGCTAGGAACATGTAGAATCTGGCAGGGGTATAATAACGAGGAAACAATAGCCTTTCTTCTCAGTTTGCATTCACAACCACAAGACCCATCTGACACCTGAAAGAACACCCCGAAAAACGCTTCGCAAGATCTTGAAAGCCATCACAATTAGCCATACCCACCAGAGCATACCAACTAATGCCCATTCGAGCATCACAAACCCAGTGCGCCGTACCCAGCGCAGCCGGCGATGACGCCTCCTGACCCCTTTGTCGAGTGTATCGCTCAGCTGTTTAACAGCAAGCGTACTAGTGGTGTTGAGCTGAATGCTCAAGTCCTCCGCATCCTGTGTGGCTGCCTGAACACGCGGGGAAATCGTCTCATTGACGATGTCCTCGAGTTTGTTCAATTGTGATCTTAAAGGAGATGAGACCGAGCCAGAGAAATTGTCTATGGATTGTTGGAACGAGCGATGTGTTTTCTCGAAGCTTCTGAGCAGGCCCTGTGCGGCTACATCGTACTCATAAAGCCGACTTACTTGAGGTACGGATGCTCCCGTACCAAATGTGCGCCGAAGGAAGTCTGGTGGTGGCTGCCGCACACATTCTGCTCGGCGGGTGATCTCTCGAGCTTTAATTCCTGAAGAAAGAAGAAGGGCTCGGGTGCGCTCAATCTCGCGCTTCCCCGGAACACCAACAACAAGGGAGCTTGATAAGCTGCGGTTAGAGATACTCCAGCTTCTTGACTCAGTTGCCAGTCTTGGGCGTTTTTCCTGGGACGATGAAGTAGTGTCTGCTCTCGCTTGAGCAAGACCCGTGACAGGAGGCCTTGTCAAACTGAAGGGAACACCGACATCCCTGATGTTACGCTTTTTGAATTGTTCTGGCACAGTATGAATATCAGGGCCAAACCGTAGTTTCTCATGACGGTTTGCTGGCGTATGGAGAGATGTAGAAAACCCACCCACTTCTCTCTGTGAGTCCGTCGTGTCGATGTCAGCACCAGCCTTCGAAGGACTGCCGTAGACAGGCGGTTGATGTTCTTCTAATCGATCATGCCGAGGCGTGGAGACAAAGGGAGACATAGGAGGCACATTGGTCTTCGAACTGATCTTCTCAAGGTTCCTGCGTGAAGTTCGATTGGCATCGTCGGAGAACGTAGGAAACCGGCGCAAGAGAGACTTGGCGCCAGACATTCTATCACCTCTAGCTTCTTCGGGATCATCAGGAGGATCGGAAACAGAACTATCCGTGCTTGAAACGGAAGATCTCCGTGACTGGGCGACGGTATCCTTTTTAAGTATTAGATCCCCTACTTTTGACATTTCGTTGCCCACTTTCTCTGCGATCTTCCCAGGGCCTTTGAATATTCCACGCAGCTTGGATTCGCCCTGTACTGCGTCTTTGCGGTTTTGTGAGTTGAATTTTGATGGGTCTTCCTGAAATACTGAAGAGATTCGATCGGGAAGCGGGCTTGGTTCCAGCCTTCCACCTTGGGGAATACCCTCGGGATGCCCAGTTGAAGTATCCTTGCGCAAAGCCGCCGACTCCAGGGAGCTATCATCTGCAATATCCTTTGCCCGAATGTTGCTCTTACTCCGCTCATGTCGAGCACCAATAGCACGCGAGAAGCGGCCTTTTGTAGGCGACGGCGAACGGCTTGCCGGTGGGGATAGGTTGGATGCGATACTTGGAAACATGCCGACCTGCGCATGGAGCTCGGGAGACCTGCTTTCTGCAGTTGATAAGGTTGTCAAGGGGTCGTAGCGGTCATCAACACTTGGAATAGAGGATATAGAACTTCGCTTTCCCTCTGACCGGGCCCAAGTAGGAGATCTTCCGGTCACATAACGAGGAAAAGTGTCATGGGTTGGCGTCAGTCTGGTATCCATGGCGGTGTCATATTCTGAGAGCGCCTCAGAGGCTCGAAGTCGTGAGGCGCCGGGCAGTGGGGACACATCCCTCTCAGAGGACAAC